GCCAGGAAAAAAAAAAAGGGGGGGGGGCCTTTTTAATAATTAAAACCCCCAAGGGCCCCGTCATTTGTTTGGAACAGAAGCCAGGAGAGCAAGGTATTCTTTGGGGAGGGGGCGTGGCGGTCCTTTTCAAATTCGGTGACCCAGGATGGAGGTTGATGGGAGGGAGGGAAGGAATTTTGGAAAAAGTTACCAAGGTCCTTTTTCCCTTTTCTTTAAACAAGTTTTTTGGGTAAGGGTTGGTGTTCAACTCCTTCCATGCAAATCCTTTTTCCCCTCACGGTTCCCACCTTGGCCCTTCCTTCCTTTTCCTCTCCCTCTCCTCTTTCTCGTCGGGTCCTTCTCCTCTCCCTGTCCTGTCCCTGTCCCTGTCCTGTCCTGTCCTGTCCTGTCCCTGTCCTGTCCCTGTCCTCCCCCCCCTTCTCTCCGCTGTCTGTTCTCTTCACTCCTTCATCACACCTCGTAGTTTGTCTTCCCCTTCTCGCCCACCGACATCTCGTTCAACTTCTTCTTGGCCCTCTCAAGTCGCTCAAGAGCCTGACCGACCCGTCAGCTGCAATCCTCCTCCCCTCCCCTCTTCCTCCTCTCCTCCTCTCCCTCCTTCTCCCTCCTCCCCTCCCGCTCTCCTCCTCTCTCTCCTACTGGTACTCCTTCCCCCTTCTTTCATCTACTCCCTCCTGTCCTTGCGCGTCCTCCCTCCTCTGGTGTCCCTCTAGCTTTGCCTGCTGCCCCCCTCACGTGTTCTTCCTCTCTTCCTGCCCCTTCCCCACGTCTCACGTTCTCCAAGCTTGGCTGCTTAGATGGTTTGCTTCCTGCAGAAGAATTCAGTATCATCTTGGATTTCCACAAATCCTCCTCCTCCTCCTCCTCCTCCTCCTCCTCCTCCTCCTCCCTCAACTTTCTTCTTCCACTCTATCTCATGGCCTTCCTCCCTCCTCCCTCCTCCTCTCCTCTCCTCTCCTCTCCTCTCCTCTCTGCCTTTCTTCGTATCCTCGTCTCTGGCTCACCAGGCAGCTCACGCGAGCCCTGCAAACAGTCAGTAAAGGAGCACAGGGGCTAGAGCATGCGGCACCGGTACTGTCAGGTCGGCTAGAAGGGGGTCCTGCGATCAACTTTAAGTTCACGAGCACAATCTCGAAGGAGAACACGGGGAAAGAAGAAGAAGAGGAAGTGTTAGCGAAGGGGAAAGATGATGATGTTGATGATGATGATGATGATGCTGCTGCTGCTGCTGCTACTGCTGCTGCTGCTGCTGCTGCTGCTGCTGCTGCTACTGCTGCTGATGATGATGATGATGAGGGCGACGACAATGTTGGTAATGATGATAAGGGTGAGGGTGAGGAGCGGAACAAAACTTCACTCGCACCTCTACGTCCTCCAGGTCCGGCAAGTTTGAAAGCGTGCGGATCTGCTGCCTTGCCTGCATGAACATCAACATGCTTCTCATCTCCCTCCTTCCCCTCCATTCCTCTTCCACTTCCCTCTCCCTTCCTCAGTCCCCCTGCCCTTGCATTCCTTGCCGTAGCTGCTCCCAAGCGCCTGCCATCGTGTCAACAGGATCAATCGCCCTGGGCCTCCTCCTCCTCCTCCTCCTCTTCCTACTCTTCCTTGCGTCTGCTCCTGCTTCTGCTCCTGCTCCCTCTCCGGATCCTCCCCTTCTTCTCTCCTCCCTTCTTTCCTCTCCTCTTCCCCTATAATGAATTTCCTTCTCCACTGTCCTTCCCACTGCTCTGCTCTTCTTCTCTTCTCGCTCTCCTCCCCCGTCTCTTTCTTTCTCACTTTTGCGCGTCCCCCAGCTTGTTGGCGTACTCGATGTCGTTTCGAGTACGTTCCACCTCCTTCTCCTGCTTGCAACTCAGAAGAAATGAAAGGAACGGATGAGGAAGAGGAGGAGGAGGAGGAGGAGGAGGAGGAGGAGGAGGAGGAGGAGGAGGAGGAGGAGGAGGAGGAGGAGGAGAAGGACGAGGACGAGGACGAGGACGAGGACGAGGACGAGGACGAGGACGAGGACGAGGAGGAGTATTAGTTTGAAGAGGAGGTGGTGGAGGAGGAGAGAAGAAAGAAGAAGAGGAGGAGAAAAGTAGTAGAGACACGAGGACAACGGGGAGTAGAAGGAGGAGGAAGAGGGGAATGAAAGAACAAGGGTACAGAGGAAGCAACCTTGAGAGCCATCAGTTCCTGCCTCAATCTTTCCGCTTCTTGACGAGCAATTGCTGATAAGTCAGTCAGCGAGGAGGGAAGGGCGAGGTCCAGGGTAGACACACCTAGCTCTTCCTCTACCCGCTGCTGCCGCCGTCGCGCCTCCTTCACCTCCTCCTGCTTCTCGTCTGACCCTCGCCTCTGCTCCATCGCCTCCTCCTCCTGCCCTGCCTGCCTTGCGCTCGTTTGCTGTGTCCTGCCCCGTTGTTCTGCCTCCTCCCCATCCATCGCCGATGCTCCTCTGTGCTGAGAAACTTGCATGCTTGCTGCTGATGCTGGTGTTGCTGCTCCTGCTCCTGCTCCTGCTCCTGCTCCTGCTCCATCTCTTTCTGCTCCTGCTCCTGCTCCTGCTTCTTGTCTCTTCGCCTCTCCCGGTCTCTGCTCCGGACCATGACGAGGGTTGAAGTCAAACTGAAGAAGACGGGCTGGGCTTCTCAGCTCGACGAGCTGGATTGACTGCCTCCTGCTCCTGCTCCTGCTCCTGCTCCTCCACTTGCTCCTGCTCCTGCTCCTGCTCCTGCTCCTGCTCCTGCTCCTCCACTTGCTCCTGCTCCTGCTCCTGCTCACCTCCTCTCTCCATGTCTGCTGTGAAGACCGGCCGTGGTTACCAAACTTATGATAAGGCGGCAAGGAGGGCCCATCCTTTCCGTCGCTGCAGCAGCCTATATCTAGGCCCAGACAAGCTCTACAGTACGGTCACCGTGGGGATGCAGAGGCAGTATGTAGGAGAAAGGAAGAGAGAGAAATATTCGAGGAAGAGGGTGGGAAAGAGGAGGAGGGAAGAAAGGAGGAGGAGGGGAGAAGGATGGAAAAGAAGGGGACGAGGACGGAAAAGAAGAGGATGAGGAGGGGGGGAGGAGGAGGAGGGAGGGAGAGGAGGAGGTGGTGGTTGTAGGGAGGAGAGGAAGGGAATACAGGCGAAAGGAACGGGAACGTAGCAGAAATCAAGATTTGTACGATCAGGGGATCGCAAGATTGCGACTAGGGGACGGAGGTGGGGTTGGGGTCAAGGGGAAAGGCATGTGTCTATGACATGGGTCTCCAACAGACCTGCTCGACTTGTCGGAACTATGCGCCTGCCCCATCCCCTCACGATCCTGAAAGCTGCCGTCACATCAAAGGATGGTTTGACATTCATGCCGACGGGACAAGACGCTGGGGGGTATTGGGGAGCCTCAACTAGCTTCAGGAGGCACAACAAGGGAGCGAGAGAGGTTCGCGATGAGTCTACGAGATCCATATGTACACCGTGTCTTTTCCTAGAGTTTGCAAGGCTCTACTATATGCATCGTCGTTCTTCTCTGCCTGTGCTTCTCTCCTGCTGCTGCTCCTGCTGCTCCTGCTCATGCTGCTCCTGCTCCTGCTCCTCCTATGCATCTTTCGAGTCGATTTAGCAAAGAGTTCTACGGTTGCCATGACGTCAGTGCGGCCATCAATCCTCTCCCTGGTTCCAAAGTTCACGAGCCTGGTATTCTCAACCCTGCATACTACGCTTGCATACAGGCTCAGGTACCAAGTGGCCTAAGACGACTGGCAGCTCAGGCTCCTCCCAGAGTCCCGCCCCGCCGGGTCGGAAGTTCGCTCAGCCCACCTCCCTTCCTCTCAGGCCCTCCCTTCAGAGGACGCGGCTGCCATGACTTGAGTTGATGGCGCCATAGCGGGAGCCGGGGGAATGACGGACGGTACGGTCATTCCGCTGAAATGGAAATGACCGTGCAAGGAAAAATCGTAACGGCCACGTAACGAGTTAACAAAAATAACGGTTTAACGGTATGATGACGGGCCGAGGGCGACCCAGTCCGATTGCAGCCCGGGGTGCCTCGACACTGGTACTAATCTTTTGATTTAAAACTCTTTAATAAAAAATAACTTAACTTTAAGTAAAGAAGCAGTACTGAGTATGTTTCGGCGGTAGAGTCCGATAGAGCAGTCGTGACGGAGACGGGGCCCTCTGTAAAATGTAAGGAACAAGGGATGATGACAGGTGGCCATGTGACAGGCCTTACAGAATATTGTTCTCCTCGTGACCTGATGATTTCAGGGGGTGGGGGTGCACAATTGAAGCTTAAGTACCGGGTGTAAAGTCGGATTTTTTCAGGGGTACTCTGATACCCTTGCAATGTTCCTGAGTAGGTTTTGCAATTTAGTGTAGATGTAAACAGTAAGATCCGAAACGATGCTTTTATAGGTCGTTCCAGTGCGCACGGGACCAGAAATGCTGATATTGCTGATGAAAGTCACGAGGTCCAGGGGATGGTGCCTCAGATATGAAAATACAAAGCCCCCTTAGCCAGACCCACCATTCGCAAGACCACGGCGCTTGCGCCAGGGTGATTTCCATCAAGCTATGCACAGCTACGAACAAGACGTGTTGGACATGCAGGAAGCTGTTAGAGAACTGAGTGGCAACAGGAGTGAACGCGAGCTATGCAAAGAGGAGAAGCTCTTGCCTCCTCTGCGGGAATTCAAGAACATCCACGTCGTAGCAGAGCACATGTTTTTGGGAGTTCAACAGATTGACCTCCAAATTCCTCTTGTGTATACTCAACAAGACGTGGATAGAATCAAGCCAGTGCCATGTGGAGAGACGCAAACGTGCAAGGCCATCAAATGGGATGAAGCATTGAATCCGGTTTTGATCACCATCGTGATTGTAAACATTCTGATGTTCGCCATCCTCGGCATGATTACGTTCCTACCAAGACTAAACGTTCTCTAGATTAGGGGAAATTTGTGACTTAGCTACTGCTCCTTCGGCATTGTACATTATTTCATAAACGCTTGTAACATATGCATGGTCTCGTGCGTTTGTAAAACTGTTGGGGTGTGAAAAAACATACTTCGGATTGAGTTTTCACAATCCTGTAGTCAGTAAACGAGTTCATTCCCGTGAAATAACATGCATGTCAACCATCGATTGATATGCATCCTCTCCTTAGGATGATGTTGAAAGTTGTCTGTTGAGCTACCTAAACTTTCTGCACTCCGATGCAAACTATCATCGGTATGCTCAGGCAGACAAAGTTTACAAGCAAGCAAATAAAATTGTTGTGCTCTCTTGTAAAGTCGTATCATGTTGTGAATGTTAATGGATAAACAACATAGAGCAGCTCGTCCTTCAGAAAGCTTCGGTTCTATTTGTCTATGTTTAAGACAACTTGAGGGTTTGAGACTGACAAAAGAAACGACAAACTGGTGTATCATGTAAGTTGTGTTTTGTCTGGGTCTGAAATGACTGCGAGGCTCCAAGAACTTTCTCATCCACAATCATGGAACGAGCAAAGTAGTTTTTCTTTTCCAGGAACATATTAACCATCGAGCTTATGCATGAATCACGAAAGGGAATGCTGGGGCACTTGGCGATCGTTAGAATCAGCAGGTGAATTCACGAGACCTTAACTCTCTTGGGACCGTCTCACTGCTAACACGGAACGCACTGAATGAGGGCGCCACGGCCAATGGCAACATCGGCCACGCGACAGGTCAAGTCTATACAGATTGTAGTTTGACCCGCAGGCAAGGTTTAGCATTGAATGGTGGTCAAAATAAACCCTGTCCTCTTGCAGCGACAGAAACGTAACTCTTGTAGTAACAGAGTTGTTACTCTTGCAGCGACGGAATAAATTTGTTGGGGAAAGACATGCTGGGCCTATAGAAACGACAATCATGCAAGAACGTAAATTCCTCTGGGCTCCAACTTTCGAGTCCCCTCGTGCGCGGAAAACCCAAACTTATTGCCCGCCTTACCACATTGCTTCGTCAAATCAAATCTGATGCTTGCATTTGTCAATACTGCTCTGCAGTGGTTGCGAGGAAGTTTACATCATCTCTCAAGGATGCGATATTGGCCCCGTGCACTTGTCAAAATGAGGAGACTAAGAGGGTATCTGGGTGCCAGTGCAGAAATCTGTCTACAAGATTTGTTGCTGTAACTACAAAATTCATTGCTGCAAGAGTTACGTTTCTGTCGCTGCAAGACTTTAATGATAGCCCTTGCGCTTCCCGACCTCCTAGCATGGAGACGCGCAAAGTTTTTTGTAGTGTTTGGCAAGAAGAACCTGTAAGTGTTAGAAGAAACTTTGCCATCAATCTGAACTCAAAGTTAAGTGAACGGTTTCTTGCCGTCTCGAGCAGCTGCAGGCGATCCGTGCTCCGACTGAACATGAAGTTGTGAATCGTGGGCGACCTCTACCGTACCTCAACCATTTCACCTTGTGCCGGGCCGGGATATTCGGGGCCGGGGCTTTCGGATCAAGACCCCGAGCCGGGCCCAAACCGGGCCGGGCCGTTTACTAGTACTACCAGTCAAATCGACTGCATGGGACTGGCCAGCTAGGACCATGACGAGTATCGTGCAGGATGACCGAACGAACCGATGTTGATACCTGTCACGATACCGACAATGTTCTGGACTCATCAATCGCTGTATTTTATCAAGGAGTTGAAACATGACCTGACTTTGCCTAGTAACGTGACAAAGAGTTAAAACCACGGCCATGGATCTACTCCAAGGGGTTTATACTACCCACTATACTACCCACCCCTCGATGTTTTCCTCAGAATTTCGAGGATTTTGGTACTTTAAGAGTCACCCCTACCCCCTCATTTTCGAACGAGACAAACTAGGCAAAGAACGCATCCTCTCATACATATCCCGAAGAGGTTTTGCAGGGAGAGGTGTAAGTACCCACCCCTGGTCTATCCACATCAACCCTTTTATTTGTACCAGGAGCAAGGACCCACCCCCTGTCAAAAGAGGATATTCCATGAACCTCACCTCCCGTGTTGTATATAAAAGGCAAGGTGAGATAGAAATCGCAAACCTATCCTCCCGGAACTCTCCATAACGCAAGTGCGATCCTGTTCTTCTTCACCTGCCTGTCAAGAAGCTCGTTGACATCGAACTATCCTCCCTTTGGTTGACATCGAACTGTCCTCCCTTTGGTTGACATCGAACTGTCCTCCCTTTCTTTGACTACACCAGCAATGAGCCTCGAAATCGACGAACAGCCCAGTTTTCCTGATCTCTCCCTAGCAAGCTTTGACAACGATACTGAGGATGCGGAAGTTTCATCTTTGAGGGACATCTCTAGGAGGGTTCAAGAAGAGATCAATTTTCAAGATAGAGCATGCTACTGCAAAGCAATCCTTCCGCTGTCAGAGGAAGACCGAAAGGAAGTTTACGGCTGCCCGTCAAGAAGCAAACAACTCGAAGCACTTGTGCATTCATTGAGATTGATTGAAGACAAAAATCGACCTCAAATTATTTCAGCGACTGGTGAAGACCTAGTCTTGTAAATTTGTAAAACATTCCTGCAATAAAATGAATAATCTTGTTGATTCTCGAAGCGATTTTCTGTCTGGCCATTATTTTTGCAAAAGGCGCTGAAAGAATTCTTCACTGCTTTTCTACATTGAAAGGCAGATATTGACAGGTGATCATGGGAGAACTTCTCTTGAAACGAAAAACAAAATTGTTTGACGATCAGATTATTTTGCTCCAGCTCACTAAACTGCTGATATACTGCTGTTCTCTAAAGCTTGAAATCGCCAAATATCGGGGCACGCGGGTATATTGATAAGATTGTTCATGGGAGGGTCAAGGGTATAGTTGAGCTTGTACAAACATAAAGCGATGATGCATTGTCTTTCTCTATCACGCAATACTTGATCCATCCGCATGCAGTCACAAATGGAAAAGCAAGCGTCTCTCTCGTTGCGGAATTCTCTCAACCCATCAAGTGTTACACTAAACAGCAAGGTTTCTCCCAAAACGAGCAGCAAGGAGACTGGTCCCTGGTAGAGCAAATCAACACATTGAATATTATGTTGACCAGGACGAGGTGGGAAATCAGTTTACTGGAGCATAAGATAAATTTCTAATAGACTTGAGGGTGAAAGCCCATCACGATGCTACGCAATTCGTCGTCAGCAATCTGTACCTCTTTCAAATAGGCAATAAACAAGCGCAAATGTCTCTTATCAAGCCTTATGATTGTTTTTGAAGATCGCAAGAAATGTTTGTAGTCAAGCGATCTTGATTGGGAACGGCGATTGAAAGACTTCGTGAATTCAAGAATAGGATGTCAGCAAATAATATGCGTTCATACACGTCGATCTATCATATTATGATTAACTCCATGTAGATTTGATGAATTTGTCGTACATTCCAATCCAATGAAGAAAAGAAGGTTCTGTGATTCTATCCGACGCAGGAAACTACGGTATCAACAGGATAGAAACAACTTTCACAAAATTCCACGGTATAACCATGGAAGAGTGATTCATGTTATGAGTGTTTTCTCCTCCAGTTTGAATTTAGCTTGACTTGATTTCATTCACAATGACATAGATACCAGATTCCTATTTACATCTACTTGCCTATTCAGGCACCCCCTCTTGCCTCCCCTACTGACAAAAGCTTGCTGCCATCCCCATCGCCCCTACTATCATGCTCGACGCGATGTTCATCCCCAGTATCCACACGGTTGCTCTCCAGGCGCCTGCGTCGACCTTGAACTGCTGCTGAGTAGAAGGCTTGCGGGGGAAGGAGGCAGCGGCTTCTTCGGCTGAGTAGTAGACGGGGATGTTGAGATCGATGGGCTGGTAGCCGAGGATGGGATGGAGCGCGAGGTAGTGAAGGCGCTTGGTCTCGAGGGGGAGAGCAGAGGAGGAGGAGGAGCTTGTAGTCATGGGTAGTGCGGGCTGGAGGGGGAGAACTTTGGGGAGATTGGGCTGTGGGAGAAGGCGGAGGCGCTTTTGTAGACTAGCAGTGCTGACAAGGAGCTGCTGATCTTGGGGTAGTAAAGAGTCATGATAACATCTACGTTTGCATTCCTGTAAGCAAAGCTGGAAGCTTCTTCACCAGTCATGCTGTTCTTTGTCAGCAATGTGTGATTTTAAAACATTTTTGAGATACAATCCGATCTGACCTTACAGAAAAGCATTTGGTCGCGGCGCATCTGAGTGTAGTAAAGTCTAATGATAACATCTGCGTTGAATAGTTGCTGACAGTCATGAGGTCGTGTCAGCACTGCTAGTCTACAAAAGCGCCTCCGCCTTCTCCCACAGCACAATCTGCCCACAGTTCTCCCCCTCCAGCCCGCACTACCCATGACTACAAGCTCCTCCTCCTCCTCTGCTCTCCCCCTCGAGACCAAGCGCCTTCACTACCTTGCGCTCCACCCCATCCTCGGCTACCAGCCCATCGATCTCAACATCCCCGTCTACTACTCAGCCGAAGAAGCCGCTGCCTCCTTCCCCCGCAAGCCTTCTACCAAGCAGCAGTTCAAGGTCGACTCAGGCGCCTGGAGAGCAACCGTGTGGATACTGGGGATGAACATCGCGTCGAGCATGATAGTAGGGGCGATGGGGATGGCAGCAAGCTTTTGTCAGTAGGGGGAGGCGAGAGAGGACATAAAAAAAGCGCCTGCCTGAGGTAGGGGAGTGCAGGCGGATGTAAATAGAGGGAGATGGGAATGTGGTATGAAGCGTTGTGAATAAAATCAAGTCAAGGTCAAGCCAATTGTATTGCCTATAGCTAGATTGAGACAAAAATCTTACCCACTGCCCTTTCAAAACTCTCTCCAATGCTACATGCAGTCCCCTGGCCCTGTTTAGGTAATGTATCTCCGCATTTCGGTAACAGCAACCCTGACGACTTGACGCAATGTGTAGAATTGTGTTGAGTTCCTACTTTCTGCTGATCCAGAGTGGATGAAACAGCAGAGGTTTGGCTTTGGATCATCCTTTAAAGAGCAGACTTGTTGTATTCTGGACTCATGCCGGACGCTTCTTGGGCATGGCGTAGGAAATAGAACGACGATGCAGATCGATGCATGTGGTGCTGCTGATCTGATAACTACGTGTGCTTAATAAACAGTGATCCTAAGATCATCTGAGCTCAAGGTCTTACGCAAGGTTGTGTATACAACAAGACTGACATCTTGTAATTCCTTCACTTGTCCCGTCCACATTCTCCAGAGCTTGACGAAGTCACTTGGAACAATGTTTCATCAAACGAGTATTGTATTTGAAGCTAAACAACATCTGGTACTTTCTGATGTCTGTATCTTCTTAAAATTATGCCTTTGACAACACCTTGTATCAAATGGTAAAAAGGGATTTTCATGATTTATACTCGCATACTATGGAAATTCGTTCGATGAAAAACTCTTCCACAGTCAAAACTGCACCTTTCATGATCGCGAAATCGATTGCTAAGAAAAATTGATCTGACCTAAAAAATCTTAGATCCACTTGAAAAATCTTAGATCCAAAATCTTAGACACCTTTGAACGATGCATTATTTTTGTGCATTGAAACCTATACTCGACTGAGGTACTTCTTCCTCTAAAATCGAAAGGTTGAAGAATAAAAGTTATTGTGTGAATTGATATTCTTCAACAGTGAACTTGTTGGCAGATTGACTTATAAAACCGACGCACAGATCTAAATACAACACACATATTTGCGATGCATTCTAGCTATTTCCATTTAATCCATAAAATACAATACATATCTGTGATTCTATTCATATCAACAGCTCTTCTCCCGTCGCAGACACGACTGCCCTTCTGCTGCGGTTTCCCAGCAGTATGATCGAATGTTCTAGCGCTTCAAGCTGCTTGCTTCTTGGGGGGCACCCATACTTCTCCCTTCTCTGTTCTTCAGCAAGCAAAGGTACTTCACAGCCTCCCTGCAGCTTCAGCTCTTCTCTGAACCTCTTCGAGATCTCCCGAAGAGAGGACAGGTCAACATCATCTTCATCGTCGCTTGCCTCTGTGCCCTCGCCTGCCATGCCTAGGTCCTCGAAGCTGGGTTGATCGTCCATGTCAATACTCATCCTGAATGTGCTGTGAAGCAAGCTACAGGTGTGGAATGTAAGGGTAGCAGAGGCTGTTGGGTTGCCGTTCTTTAAGCTCTGAAGGTGTGCGGGAGGCGGATATGATGGTCTCCTTATTAGATCGGTGGGTGCGTGCATCGCTGACTCCCTAGCACGGGGGGAAATGATTGTAATTTGAGTGAAGCGTTGCGATTTGAGGTCTTATAGTGATATGGCACCCATGTGTGGATGCAGATTTACTTCAAAACAGGCCATTTCGCTTTCCGAAGAAGTTTCAGCGCTGCTTTACGTGGTATCCTCTTCGACAGTCATCGACCATCATCGATTGCCAACCCGCCTCGCTATGATCCGCTCTCCTTAAGACTCCACGAGGTCTCATGTCCCTACAGTTATCAGACCGCATTCTAAACCTTCTGCGGGGGACCCTAGGGAAAAGGGGGGTTAGAGTTGGAGATATGAGGGGGTGGTGGGCAAGACAGGGGTGGGTGCGCTGACCCTCGTAAAGGATCAGCTGCAAGCTTTAACTTGTGTTTTCATCACGTTACCAGTCAAAGCTCTGACTTCTTGAAGAGTAATGGGGCAGCAAGCATGGAATACTCCTCTTCCTATGACTTACCCTGCGAGACAGCAACACAGAGCCATTGTTACGACATCACGGGCCCACCTCAGATCCTTATCGGTGTTTTAACCGGCAGGAGGGCTACCATCAGGAACAGTCCCGGGGTTGCAGAGGACGCAAAGGCACCCCTTGACCTCTTGGGCGGGAGCAGCCGGACCTGCAGACGAAGAGGTGCGATTGGGATATTTCTCATCACGAGAGGGCATGGTAACTCCATGCTTGTCCGCTCTGACCTTCTGAAACGCAACGGTTCGAGCTCACTCCGATTGGATACGCATCGTTTCACATCCTCTATGGCTGGTTGACGTGAACGTGACTACCCACCCTTTCCTACTTAAGACTTGAATTTAGTACCAGCATGTACCCACCCCCTAGGTATTTAGATAGCATGCCAGGTATTGCTGATTTAAGATGTCTTCCCAGCCCTTCGTATATCAACACGAGCGAAGCCCTGCAGTCTTTATCCCCTTGCTTTCCCTCGCACTGCCACGTTCAAACTTCTAGCCCTACCACTTGCATACAAAACTATCTACATCCTCGCTATTCGAACATGAACACAAACGACATCATGGACTTCGGTGATCAACCCAGCTTCCGCGACCTCTCCTTCTTGGAGCCTGTTCCAGAAACATCATCTGCCGAAGTCGACTTTTCCTCCCTCCGGGACATCTCCAAGAGATTCAGAGACGAGTTGAAACTCCAACATGCTAGCGAATGCAACGACAAGCCCTTCCCACTGTCAGAGGAATGCAGGAGTTGGAAGTACGGATGCCCGTCACGGAGTAAGCAGCTTGAGGCACTAGAACACGCAATGAAATTGGTCTCAGATAGAAATAGACAGCCAATCCTGGCAGCGACTGGCGATGAACTGTTGTTGTAATGTATAGAACTATTTTGAATTTCAATGAAACAATGTTTTCTCATGCAAGCCTCTTGTGAACACTGAAGAGATTGTCCTCGTGACAAACAAGGACAGATAGACATCATTCTTTCCTGGTTTGACAGGACTTTGTAGATGCTGGTGACATTTCAGACCTACAAAACGTTCCGAACACCTCAACACAAGCAGGTGCATTGTATTGGATTTTACAACCTGGACCAGTTTGACAAATCATTGACGATCTACGTCCTTCATCTTGCTCAACCAGCATTAGTGATTGATACAACTTGTGGATGGAAGTCTTGCACGAACCACTTGACTCTCAAACAATTGATGAAAATGAGTGGTTCACTGTATTTCGACAGGACATATGATTTTGCAAGATGATATGCCATATCATGGAAAACACCGTTTTTCCGGCGTTTTTCCTTGCTACCTCCAAGTTAGCAAAAGCAATGTATGCCTATGCTGTCCAACCAGAAACACAAGGACTTGGATGAACAAAAAGGACCAGGAAAAGAATGTTCACACGTGATTTGATCAACGTATGCAAGATTCTTAATCTCGCTCAAAATCGTTGTCTAGATTACAACACAATGAACAACACATCAATGTGCCATGGTCTTGCAGCAATGGCATCCCGATGGGAACTTGAGTACAGCATGGCAGAATGGCGTGCTCTTGCTGAGTCCATTTTCCGAACTCCCCTCCCACTGTTCCAACCCCCAAGGCAGCAATAGCAACAGTATATTTAGATTTGACTGAACAACTCCACCTTATGGCGAGGGATAAGAACGTGCTGACAGGCTCACTCACGCGATGTGACTTCATGCGCCCTTTTCGATCTTACTGGAGCTAATGAGAGACATCAAGTGCCTGTGCCTGATGGAGGATACTTCCCTGTCAGTCGAATGCCATCGATGCGCTGTGTTGATTACTAGGCTCATGAACGTTGCACTGGGCAGTTTGGAATGTTGCGAACTTGAAGCTTTGTTCTGATATTTTGAACGGGGGGGGTTGAAGCTCTGAACGTCACGGAGGTTTGAAGCTCCGTCAGGGAACGATACCACTGTATTATCAGGCCCTTGTGACTTGAGCAACTTCCGAGTCGGCCCCCGAGGGCCCCGGCCGCCGGCCCGCCGTACTGATGACTGGGCCCGGCCGGATTTTCCTGAGTCCGAATTTCAGTCACCGCCGGGCCCAGGGACTCCGCCGGGTTGCCGCAGTGTGCCGACTCCGAGCTCACCGTACGGTCGCCGCACCGTCACGGTTGCAGGCGGCGCCGGGCGCTCGGACCAGATCGGACTGTCTCAATGTGCTAAGCCTCTACTCAAAGTGAGCCTAACGCGGCCTGGCGGCCAGTGCTCCGAGTTGAAGGCCCCCGGCCGCCGGGTGCCGCTGTGCACACTCAGTCTTCTTTACTCAAAGTTAAGTTATAGATCAGTACGAGGACAATCAGGAGAGTCGACTCCGGGAGGCTTGACCGTCCGTGCACCGTGGCACTCAGTGTCGCACTGGCCAAACGGCGAGAACAGTAGCACTCAGGCTGCGCAAAGACAGCGAGAACCAAATCATGGGGCCAATCCTGCCAATTGCTGTCCCCCAAACATTCCCCCCCGCCAGTGTCAGCGACTCATGTGCGGCTGTGGCCGCCGCCGAAGGAATGAGACGCATACCGGAACTTCCGAGTTCGGAATGCACCCGCGATGATGCCGGCAGCGAAGGACAGGGAGGCCTTGAGCTGACGAAAGATCCTGGACCGGATGCGTTTGCACCGTGGCGGGACGTGCTGACTCAGTATCAGTATGCATTACTAACCCATGCCATCGGCCTCCAGTAGCGTCAATCAGTAACCGATGCGCGGCCGCCGGGCCGCGCACCGTGGCACTGAGTGCGGCGCGGCCGGGGCACTGAGCGGCGGCAGTTGCGGCACTGACTGTGACGGTCCCGGGCCGCCCGGCCGGGCGGCCGATCATTCAGTTCATCATTTTGCCCGGAATCAGAGTCGGATCGACGGAACTTTTCTCTGAGGCGGACTCACGCAGCTCGACCCAACAAAAAGTCAAATGAGCTTTCAAGATGTAAATGCTGGGTAGGGCAGGAGTTTTACCGGGTGCCGAGCATCGGGCAGCACCTGAGGGTCCTGGAGGAGGCTGAGCGAAGCGAAAGAGCGTCAGTTGAGTCTTGAGGGACTGCGAGGCTAGGGAAGGAGGTAGAAGGCAAGGAGAAACTTGAGAGGAAATGCTGGTAGATGAAGCAACTGAGTTGTGATACCAACGCCCCTGTGATACACTCCAAGTTAGAACCCCGTGAATGACAGGATGAAATAGTAATGCCCACAGCAAGCTCGGTCTAGTGATCGGTGTACCCACTCATTGCTCTTGTTGTTGGCAGCCAAGGGGCCCAGGATGAAACGCGATGATATAATGAGGCTGAAGGGGTTGGAGGAGGAGGCGACATCGATCCGAGCCTCGTGCTGGTATGCATACCTGCCCTGACCTTCCTTGTTCTCTCGCAGAGAAGAGTCACTCCGGCATGCAAACTGAAACCAGCACGCATGCGACCGACGGAGTGCGCCTGAGAGGAAGGAGGAGGAGGAGGGCGACGCAGATTGAGTCACACGTCTCTACAGCGCCGACAAGCTTCTTGACAACGTAGTCAGCACTGACAAGAACGTAGGCATGCTGGCCAGCAAGAAAGACCCCCTGCGCTATCAGACCACCCCCTCGAGCGAGAAGTCAAAGCTCAAGAAAGAGCTGAGGAGGAGGAGTACAGTGTGGAACTCCCCGAAGCAGGGAAAGCCTTCAGTGCTGTCGGGGCATCTGCATTTCACTGAGCTGCCGCACTCCGAGCATGGAGACGGCGATGTCAACTCGCACAAGGACGCCTTGCACCGGCATGAGATGGAGCCAAAGGCAGGAAGGAAGAAGTCTCTGTATAGCGAACTGCTGTCCAAGGTATCCTCAGTGCCTCCTGTCTTGCTGCACAAAGCTCGATCAGGAGATCCTCAGCCAAGGCAGTCGCTGCTGATGAAGGCCCTCAAGGTATCGAGCCGTGCTGGGTGGAAGCGTCGGCTCTGACTGCTGCGAACTGAGCAGGGAGGAAAGTCGTTGAGCATGTCGTTGTTCTCCATGTTGAGGAGCAACACCGGCAAGATGGCAGACCTGCTGATGCGCGCGAGGACGTGGAGGATCCATCCGCCGCTGCTGTCCCTCCACGGGAGATTCAGACAGGGTAAGCTGTCCGACATGGGCGGATCGTTCCAAGGGAGGAGGGAGGAGAGCGAGATCGACGTGATTTGGTCGATTTCGGTCAAGGAGGTTGTGCTCTCCGACTTTAGCCCTTGGTCGTACAGCCACTTGCAGTTTGTGCTGAGGAAGGGAAGCCTGAGCTTGGAATCGTCCCTGGTGCCGCACAAGCCCTTGATGCTGGCGGACAGTAGGGAGGGAGTCCTTCCTTGGAACGAGACGCTGGAGGTGCACGCGACTGATGGGCAGGAGGAGAAGATTGTGCTGGAGCTGCGGGGCTGCACCCTTGACGGGGAGAGCGGAGGGAGGGAGCGAGGGGAGAGCACGTTGGTTGGGAGAGTGGACCTGCTGGAAGCGCTGGACGGAGCCTTGTGCGAGAGGATGGCAGCGCTCGTTAGCAACTCCTCCTCCTCCCCAGGGGACGAGGGCAGGGGTGTGAACGTTAACAGATGGTACAACCTCCCGTCTGTGAGACCGTCAAGATTCTACATGACGAATGCGCTGAGGCTTCCTGCCCAGGTAGTGACCTGGTACAGCCGGATCAAGGTCTTGGATGTTCCAAGCGAACAGGTCAATCAGAAGTGTGTAGGGAGGGAGAAGTCAAAATACCCAAGTGAGGCAGACGCTGAGACTGAGACAGACAGAGACAGGTGGGCAGGCAGGCAGGCAGGCAGGCAGGCAGGCAGGCAGGCAGGCAGGCAGGCAGGCAGGCAGGCAGGCAGGCAGGCAGGCAGGCAGGCAGGCAGGCAGGCAGGCAGGCAGGCAGGCAGGGCAGGCAGGCAGGCAGGCAGGAATTTTCTGACACCAGGACCGCAGAGATGGTTCAAGATAACAACAACGGAGCATCGAGTTGCCGGAGGGATCCTCCGTACCAGTAAGCTTCTCCTCTACCACCGTCCCCCTCACCCTCCACGTCCTTCTACAGCCTCTACAAGGTCAACAGACAGGTCGGCATCCTGTGATGCTGCTCATGATCAGACTTTGGGCGCCGTTCGCGTCCAAGTGAGGAAAGGTACACATAGCGGGAAACGAGCCATCGCACCTACCGGCTGTTTCCTGTGCTGATCGTTCCTGGTGTACTTATCCTGTGCTCGGAAATTGCGGCTCCTCCTACACTTCCCTTGCCCTTACCTTAACGCTAGTCTCTTCTGCTCTCCTTCCATCCGTCACTCTTTCTCATTCCCCCTCTTTCTCCCTCATCATCCTCCTCCTCTTCTTCCTCCCTCACCATCTTCGACGTCCTGCTGCTGACCCGCTCCTCCTCCACAGAACAACCTTGCCGATCCTATCTCCGTCTCCACGTGGACCGAGGACAGAACTTCGACCGCTGGGCGCGGGCGCGAGGAGGGCAGCATGTGCTGGAAGTAAGCTTCAACCGCACGAGCATGCGAACAAAGGCGAAGAAGAGGGAAGCGAAGGGAGAGGACTGGATCTACTCGTCGGACTTGGTTTGGGACCTTCAGACTGCAAATATCCTGCAGCAGCAACGGCTGCTGTTCCGGGTAAGCCGTGCTGGAGAGAGAGGAGGGAGGGAGGGGAGACAGGAAAGAAGGAAAGATCGGAGGGACGGAAGTAGGCAGGCAGGCAGGCAGGCAGGCAAGGTGGGATATGGGATGGAAGGAACGAGGGAGACAGGGAGACAGGAAAGAAGGAAAGAACAGAGGGAGGGACGCAAGGAGGGAACAAAGAATGAAGAAAGGAAATATGTCCTCTGAACCTTACCTAGTTTCTTTTGCATTGTGAGAGGTTTACATTCATTGTTGGCCTCGATTGACAGCAGGCGTTCAGTTCAGTCAGTCTGAGATGTTTTGGCATGAAAGTTTCCAGCCTGACTGAGACTGAGTTGCTTCTTGCCTTTTCTTGTGCAAACGTTGATTTCTGGTTCCTCCACGACAGGTCTGGTGCTCTAAGGATGATTTCTCCTTCCCTGAAATCTCGCGCACCCCCAGCGCAGCATCCGGTCCTCTCCCCTCCTACCTGCTCTCCTCCCCCTACCCCCTTCCAGCCCTGTTTCCTCTCCACTCCAAACCCCTTCTGCCTGCTCTTTCCTCGTCCTGCCTTCTCATCCCCGCTCCTCTTGTACTTCTCCTCCTCGCTACCTCCCTGTTCCCAGCCCCTGCACTTGACTGCTTTCCTCTCGTCTCTGAACCACATCTCCTGCTCTTTTCTTCCTCCTCTACTCTTTCCCCGTCACCCCCTGACGTTGACGTCCCTCAGGTATCTCAAGGACTCCATCGGGCGTCCTTGCGACCATGTTCTCACGGACAAGGTCCTCCTTTATCTCTTGCCCTTCTTCCTTCCATCCTCGAGTTTCTTCTCCCCTTGTTGTATCCTCTCTTCTCTCTTTCCCCCTCTCTCTGCCTCTCTGCCTCTCCTCTCCGCTCCCCTCCCCTCTCCTCTCCTCCCCTCCCCTTTTCTCTCCTCTTCCCTCCCCTCTTCTCTCCTCTCCTCTCCCCTCGCCTCCCCTCCTGATCGGCTCTATTCTCACAGGAGCTCCAAGTCACAAGCTCCTCAACGCACGACGAGCGACGGGAGGAGGGGGGAGGAAGGAGACGAAGACGTGCTGGTACTCGAAGGAGAGCTTTCCCTGTCCTCCCTCTCCCTTCAGAGCGAGGAGCAAGCAGCGTCTTCAAAGTCTCTCTCGCGGCTCAAGCTGCTTCCCTGCCAGCCCCCTCAGTCCTCTCCTCCTCCTCCTCTTCCCGAGCTCACACTTGCTGTGTCCTGGCACGTGGAGGGCAAGTGGAATGCTACTTTGAGTATCCGCATCCTTGAGGGGAGGATAGCGAAAGGTACGAGATGAGATGTGGAGAGAGGGAAGGAGAGCAGAAGGAAGAGGAGAGGAGAGGATTTTGACGACGATGAGTACGATGGGAGACGACGATGATGACGATGATGGTGATGGTGATGGTTATGGTTATGATGATGATGATGGTGGTGGTGGTGGTGGTGGTGGTGATGATGATGATGATGATGATGATGATGATGATGATGATGATGATGGTGGTGGTGGTGGTGGTGATAATCATGATCATGATGATGTTGATGCTTGAGATGATAGTGATGTCTGGTTGAAGCGAAGGGGCCTGAAGGAGTAAAGATTTTGAGGATGAGAATGAGAAAAACCTACAAGACAGAGACTGTCAAGAGGAGAAGGGTTTCGACAAGGACTGAGGTGAAGGAGTAGGAGTGGTGAAACGGCTGGTGGACGAGAGCGGCGGAAGGGGAGGGCGAGCTGGAGGGATGGAAGTGAAGGAGATTCTTCCCCTTGATCTGTACGATGAGGATGGGATACCTGGACTTGCGATCTTCTGCCGAGTCAGGCAAGGTGATGGAAGGAGGAGAGAGGAGGAACAACGATTACCCCAGAGAGGAGGAGAGGAGAGGAGGAGAGGAGATGGGAGGAGGGGGGGGGAGAGGATAGGAGAGGGGAGGAGAGGAGAGGAGAGGAGAGGAGAGGAGAGGAGAGGAGAGGAGAGGAATGGGTTTGTCGATCAAGGGGGGAAATGGGATTAGCAGTGTTGACAATCAGCAAGAGAACAATCAAACACAGCTGAGGGAAGATAGTGAAAGAATAGATAAGATATCAGATAAGATAGTGCTATCAAGGATAGGATAGGATAGGATAGGATAGGATAGGATAGGAAATGTCAACGTTGACACGTCACGGTGGGTCAAGATAAGACATGTCGACGTGAGATGTTTGGTTCAGGTTCCGGCAAAGTCATGGGAGAAACGTCTTGCCTGTCGCATCGTCAAAATTGTCACTGGGACGAGACGCTCTCAACCCAAGGTTGATGTGTTGATGGCCCTCAGTTGGTCAGGAGTGATGCTGGTTCCAGCCCCTGCTTCCAGCCTGCATGAGACAGTGGTATACGTGGATTGCTACAACAAGATGGATGATGTAAGGACGAGTGCAGGCACGAGAGGGAGGGATGGAGGTGGGAGAGGAGGGAGAGGAGGGGGGTGGGGGAGCAGGATGGGGAGGAGGAGGGGCAGCGGGAGCAGGATGTGCAGCAGCAGCTGCATCTACCTGAAATCAGGATTAGAAGGGTGAGAAGAAGAGGATGAATGGGTGTAGAGAAGAGAAGAGAAGAGAAAGACGAAGATGTGTTCTTCGCGCGTCAGAAGCATGTTGCTGCTCTGACTTGGCTGACAGGCAGAGACTCTGCTGGGAACGGCGACGGTGGATCTGAAGAAGACATCTCTGAATGCCCACCGCCCATCTGAATGGCAAGACATAGTTCAGCGAGGAAGCGATCACAGGGGCCTGATGGGCTGGTTTGAGTCGACAACACAGGGTGAGCCTGTTTGCGATGAAGCTGTGAAGTGCGAGGTTGAGAGGAAAAGGGATGCAGACGTGCTGTTGTTGTGGATGTTTGTAACTAGTCCAGTAGATGTGATTGTCTTGCAACTTCTTGTCTTTGGTGTCAATTCATCGCAACGTATGAGAACTTGTTGCCTGTCCTGATATCAGCCTTGTGTTTAGGGGAGGACAAGATCGCAGGACAGCTGCTGGTGCAGGTGAAGACGTTGACATCGGTGGCGAGAGAGATGCGTAGCGCAAACAAATTGAGTTGAGAAGAGCTCGCAAGGAAAGAAGAGATCAGAGTATGAGGAGTAGCAGCAAGACAGGCTGGTTGCTGTGACAACGAGACTGAAGCATTGTTTCGCATGCTTGCAGTCACGCTGGGAGATGAAAGACGATGATGAGGAGGAGTGTCAGCGACTGGTTGAGGAGATCAAGAGGAGATGCGAGAACGACGATTACTTGCGCAACATCTTGTTTGGGATCGTTCAGGTGAGACAAAAACATACATGTTGTTCAAACACAACAAAAAAGACATCGATCTGTGATATGATATAACCTCCATCTTGTTTTGATACAACCTTCAACTTGTTTTGATACAACCTTCATCTTGTTTTAACACAACTCACATCTTGACATGACGCAACATGCACGTTGTTGGACAACGTTGGCAAGGCTCTCAACTCACGGTGCTGCAGAAATGGAAGCATCGATCGATGCAGAGCTCATTCAAAGCGCTCCATCATCACATGATGGCTGAACGATTCAAGGGCGACATGGCGGTGGTACGACAATTGACCCTGACAAGTTTCGAGAATTGTTGCCAAGAATGATTGTTGCAACCTTTCTGATCATTATTTCGTCCAAATGCTTGCTCCTTCCTGTGTTCTTGCTCCTCCTGCCCGAACTTCCTGCTCCTCCCCTCACTCCTCCTCTCATACTGCTCCTGCTCCTCCCCTCACTCCTCCTCTCATACTGCTCCTGCTCCTCCCCTCACTCCTCCTCTCATACTGCTCCTGCTCCTCCCCTCACTCCTCCTCTCATACTGCTCCTGCTCCTCCCCTCACTCCTCCTCTCATACTGCTCCTGCTCCTCCCCTCACTCCTCCTCTCATACTGCTCCTGCTCCTGCTCCTCCTCTTCCTCGCACTCCTCCTGCACGTGCTCTCCTAACCGAACTCTTCCTCGTCAGGCCAAGTGGGAAGCACTCGGGGTCAGCAAGTTCCTGTGGGAGTGGCAGCACGTGATAGAGAAAAAGAACAAGGCCAAGGTGCAGAAACGTGGGAGGAAGAGGGAGGAAGGGGAGGAGGAGGAGGAGGAAGGGG